TATCGCGGGCGGGGTCTCAGGACGTGAGAGAAAGCCAGCCCAATTACAGGCACGAGTCACTGACCAAAAAATGCCTCCGGGTCCCCGACCCTCTAATCGATATCAACGCGACCAGCAGAGCTGTCTTCAGGGACAGAAAGATACTGAGTCGAGGATCGAAGGGATCTGACGCGGCTTGTGTAGCGAGGGCGAGATCCTAAGAGCGCATGAGAGGGGGCGAGGTGGATTAATTCGCTTAGCGCCCCTGAGGAACCGGATGATGAGGTTATGCGTTCCCACGGTGCTGCCAGCCACCGCGTCATGAGAGCGGAGATGGCAGCCACGTAACCTTGAGTGTGGGGGGCGACAGCCTGCTCTCCAGCTTCTCTCGGCGTAAAGAAAGCACAACGCTGATCTGGCAAATTACGGGGGTCTTCTCTGCGAGAGACACACCATTCAGTGAATAGACTCCACTTCAGGGCATAGGCGCGCTCGGGGAGGGGGCTCTAGCCCGAGTGACGGTATTAACCACCGCAATCGGAGGTTACCTAAGTCTTCCTCGCGTCTAATGACCTCCAAAGATCGGCGAGGGTGCCAGATGGTGCCCTGTCCCTGAGAGAGTAGGTGCTCTCTCGAAGGGACTGCCAGGGGAGAGCTATCGCGAGGGAGAGCTCTGACATCTAGGTCCGGTTGAGCCAGAGGGGCGCAACCAGCAACCTGTTCCTTGTCCTCCCTGACCTTGCACAGTAACTGCGCGAGCAGGCTCACTAGGGGAAACGCATATTTGCGCGTGCCCCGAGGCCAGCTGTAAGCCAGTGCATCCGTGCAGAGAGCACTCGGTCAGGGAAAGAACAACTGGCAATGAGCGATCTCGGGGGAAGCAACAGATCGATCTGGGCTTCCCCGAATCGCGCCCATATCAGCTGAACAGACTCGGGGTGGAGTCTCCATTCTCCAGGACGTAAGGCTGCCGTGAGAGCGCATCGGCTGCACGGTTGAGCTTGCCTGAATATGAATGGCGTGCAGCGATTTCAGCCGCGGATGACTCCAGAGGAGCAGACGGCGGGCGAGTTGAGACATGCGGCGAGAGCGCATACCCCCCATACGGCTGATATACGCCACCGCCGCCGTACTGTCCGTCCTGACCAGCACGTGTTGCCGCTCCAGCACCGGAAAAAACCGGTGGAGAGCGAGGAACACTGCCAACAGCTCCAGGCGATATGCCAATGCAACTGGGTACCTTTCCACAGGTCCGCAGCCGCATGCCCGCAACGCACAGCCCCCCAGCCCGTGTTGGAAGCGTCTGCTGAAACGACAACCAGACTGGGCGCCTGTTCTAGAGACACCCAGGCCTGTAGGAACGAGGGACCGCTCCAAGGGCTGAGGGCGCGGCGACACAGCGCAGTAACAGAGACTCGGTGTGCGCACGCGTGCCATGCGCGTCTGGGGACTCGATCGTGAAGCCAGTGCTGAAGTGGTCTCATATAGAGTAATCCGAGCAGCATGAAGCGGCTGCGGATGCCATATGCCCCAGGAGCCTCTGAAATAGTTTCAGTGGGACCACTATTTTACTGTCGAGCTCTCTCAGACAGTACAGCATCAGCTGAGCGCGCTCTCCGGAGAGGCGCGCTGCCATGGTGACCGAGTCCAGCTCCAGCCCGAGAGAAGAGATCCTCTGCACGGGGGCGAGTTTGCTCTTTTCTCGGTTGACCTAAAACCCCAACAGGTGGAAGTGCCAGAACACTTTGTCTCTGTGCATAATCAATTGCTCCGAAAGAGGGCAAAAATCAGCCAGTTGTCAAGAAACTGAGTATGCAGATGCCCTCGAGCCGAAGGGGCGCTAAGGCACCCTCCGCGGGCTTGGTGAGGACCCGCGGAGACAGAGAGAGCCCGAAGGGGAGGGCTTTGTATTGCCAAGCTCGACCTTCAAACGCAAACCGCAGAAACTGACGGTGGCGAGGAAGAGTGGAGACATGAAAATACGCGTCCATCAGGTCTAATGCTGCAGACCAACCCAGAGGATGAACGCACCGGAGGATGCGCTTCTGCGTGAGTATTCTGAATGGCAGCTTGTGCAGACAGCGGTTCTAAACGCGCAGATCTAGGATTGGCCGTGACCCACCACTCTTTTTGGGCACGATGAAGTGTGGGCTGTAAAACCCGCTCTCCATCTCGGCTGGAGGGAGCGGCTCGATTGCATCCTTCACCAGGAGGACAGCAATCTCCTCTCGCAAGACAGGGGCGGACAGGGGGCTGACCCTGGTGAAAACACACCCGAGACTTGGGGGGCCGTTTTGCGAACTGAATCACATAGCCGAGACTGATTGTGCATATGAGCCACCGCAAAGAGTTGGCCCGCGCTAACCAGGCAGGCAGAGCTCTCGCTAATGGACTAATCGCTACAATCGCTGACGTACCAGCAGTGGGGCAGCGCGGAGTGGGTGTGCTGATCCAGGAAGCGCGCGGGTCCCACGGAAAAGCTGGAGGTGAGATAGTCGCTCTCACTCCGCACCCGAGCTCCGGAGGGGAGGCTCGAGGGGTGGGAGAAGGAGACCGTCCTCCCAGCGCTCGTGAGCCACTGGCGAAACGCACCGAATCTGCAAGCTAGAAAGCATAGCGTCCAAGACTGGCAGATTTCGGGCTGTCACATCCGGGGAAGTGGAAAAGTGCTCTTTCATGATATTTTCATGGCAGTAAAAAAGTGCCGTTGGAAATGGGGCCCCGCCCTCCAGCGGGGAAAGAGCAAGTTCCCTCTTCTCCAGATGGCCTGTCCCAGGGGCGCTTCGCGGTCCGTTGCCGGACTTAGCGGCATTCTGGGCAGGGGGGCTGCCTGCTTCCGAGGTGCCCGACTCGCTCACTTCGCCGGAGGCGTGTGCGGGGGCGGAGCAGCTCTCGTAGGCGGGCGCCTTCGGCGAGGAGCAGGTATGAATGGCACGGCGGGCGGAGCGGGCTACGGACCGCCGATAAGACATCACCCACCAACTGCTCTCTCACCGCCTTGAATTCCTGGGCAAATTCACAGACAGTGTCGCCGAACATGGCTGGGGATATGGGGAAGTCAAGAAAGCGGACTTTGTCGACTTTGCGCATATCAGCCTCGGGTGGCGCTCCTGGACCACTAATGTGGACATCGTCCTCCCCAACGCACACGCAGCAGACTCAGTAGTCCGAAGAGCTAAGTCGGCGGCGGTGCGAAGCTCGTAAGCCTAGGTTGAACCCACCCTCGTGCAGCTCGGCCAGCGCCTGCGCTTGGTAGCGCTGGTAGGTGGCTATCGCATGCAAGGCGGAAGCAGCCTGGCCCGCAGCTATGTAAGCTCTAGCTCCGAGGGAGGCAGATAACTTACATGCTTTGGATGGGAGACGAGGCGGACCCCGCCAAGAAGAGGCGCCGCGCGAATTGACCGCCATTGCACACTCAACCTGAGGAATCGCCACATACCCCCTGGCTGTTCCACCGTCAAGAGTGGTGAGGGTGGAGGGACACGCAGCACGTGCAGAAAAAAGTGCTTTTCAAGACTGCGTGAGCCTACTGTGCACCTCGCGGAGCTGGGGGATAAACCATCTCCAACCCACGGCCGAAGCAGCCCGGGAAAGCACGGCTAACATGTCCGTTTCAGGATTCGTAGTGACAGCGCTCACCAGCCCGAAGGGGGCGAGCGGGTCTGGATCATCATCGGACAATGAAAGCCCACCCTCCGATGCCGCGGTGGACGTCTGGTCTCCGGTGTCATCGGGCGCAAGGGCTACCATCTGTTAGACGGATCGCTTCCCCCGCCAGAAGCTTGGATGGAGCGCTTAGAGGAGCGGGAGGTCCGCGGGCCCGTGGGCGACGGATTATCTCTCGCTGAAACCCTCAGATCTGCCCGAGTGCCCGCTGCAGAGCATTGGACAACTGGGGTGGTTCGCCCTTTTGCAAAGGCTAGCCGCGATCTTGCGCAACAGTCATGGCATCGCAATGACGACATGAATTGCCCGCGAGCAGCGCATTAACATGCTGGATCCCCAGACATGTAACGCAGTGCCCGTGCCCATCATCCGAGGACAGGAAACCACCGCATCCAGAAACGCACAGTCGGAGCGCCGTCCTGAAAAGGACGTGCTGCACGACTGTGTTGCTCTTTCTGTGAAGTTTGCAACTTTGTACGCACCGCTCTGGAGGACCGGACCCAAAGAACGCCAGGCAAGGGAGAAACCCAGCTCGACCGTCTGCCGCTGCGTGTACACACTCTGGACCGGGAGAATGCTCTCGTTCGCTCAGAATCGCTGGTCACAGCAGGAGGAACCCTCATCGACTCGATCAGAAAGTCTCTGAAGCGAAAAGGATGGCGTCTGCTCGCCCCAGGTGTGCTTATATGCTGGGATAATTGGCAATGAAGTACACCTGTGCAAGCTTACGCTGCCAATTCATTGCTTTCATTGGCCCGTTCAATACTCTTTCAGACAAGCGGCTTCTGAACCGAATCCTCCCATTTCGTGGATTTCAATCAATCCACTCTATGGCACTGAAGTTCCCCAACCGAAGGGGAACCATGATTTTTCCATCACCAAACTTGACTAATTTCTGTGAAAATCTTGGGTCCATGCTGGTTCCAATAGGTCTTCTGCAGTATTTGTGATGATTAGGATGCAGTTCAACAGATGATTCATTGGAAAAATCTACCTTCTCTCACTTTTGCAACTAGATGTGAAGTTATCATTTGTTGCTCTTTCAACTGGGATTGATGACGACTTTTGTCAGGTAGCATATGCTTCTCATTTTTTACATTGAGGATACATTGAGGTCTTATGAAGTGGAACAGTCTGTCTGTGCAAGAAACTGAAGATTATTAAAAATTATTTAAAAATCTGATGTGAACATTATTTCACAACCGATCAATTGTTACACTACAGAAGACCCCAATGTCTCAGTATATAGAAGATACAGCTATTAACTTGGTGTCGTCTTTGTGTTTTGTTTGACACTCAATGATGACTTTGACTCTTTGTTGGACTGATTAACCAAATACCACAGTTTTAGTCGAAAATCTTCTTTATTATTCTGAGGATGGAAAAAGTCATCATAGACGGCATGAAGATACATAAATTAAGATAAAATGTGCATTCTGTGTGTACATTTTAATGGTTGTTTACTAGAAAATAAGCAGGAACAAATAGAGGGGCTGATATAATACAATATCAGACACATTGTTTTTTTTAGCTTTATTTCAAAATTTGCTTAACATTGTAAAAACACTGGTTGTGAATATAAATGTAGAAATTTAAAGTCACAAACATTTTTAAAAAAGAACAGCATATTTTCAGAAAAAAAAATTACGTAGATGGAATAACTATTTAAAAGATGCATTATATTATGTATTTAATGAATAATAATCTCGCCTAGGGTGCTAACAAGTCTAGATGCAGCCCTAAGGTACAGCTACACCCCAGTCACAGTTTTTGTACCTTTATTTCTGAAAGTGCAGGCTACTGTATATAAGCTGGAAAAGTTTGGTTTCCTAAAAGCGTGTGCTGTTGAATTGCTGTTTCAGTATTTTATTGATCCAGGTGATATGTCTTTTGGACAGAAGCGTGTACACTGTGGGTTTTTTGGGATCCCCACATCCGTGTGAGCCTGAAAGCACTCCAACCAGGTTTTTCTCACACTCCAGAGGTCCACCAGAATCTCCCTGAAAAACAAATCAAGATCTTCATCCTCCAGACATGTGAAGAAATGTTTGCAAACAGCATAAATCAGCATCTGTATGGGTGAAACCCACCAAACAGGTTCCTCTGTGCTGCTGTGTGTTTCCTGCACACAGCATGTCTTTGGTGATGACAGGATTTCTGTTATAGTAGCGGTTGCACTGCACTCTGTCCACCACCAACACCTCCAACATTTGCAGTTTATCAGAAGCTTGCTTGCCTTTATAATCAGTGGTTCCCCAACCTCTCACAACACATTTTGTTCCGGGTTGGACGTCTTTTTCCTTTTTAGGGATTTTGTAGGGTTTGGCTTTAACTTTTTTGCTTAGCTGCAAAGATATGGCGATGCTCAAATGCATGTTGTGTAAAAGCAGTAAAAGAGTTAATTATGAATAAATGACAAAAAATTTTTGTTCATCCTTACCCTAATGAGCATGATGTCGTCTTTTTTAGTCTTTTTATTGAATGTTTCAGGGATTTCGTAATTGTGGATGGCAATACGCTGAGAGCCTTTACTCAGAGATAGAGATCCTATGAGAACCGTCACTGATGAATAGGAGTCTCTGAAATAAAAACAAGTCTGCTTATATGCTTATACTTCATAGTTCTATAACCCCCACATTTATAGTTAGTTTCAATAAATAAATAGATCATGAAAATAAAGATCAAAACGCTTAAAATAATAACTTGAGATAAAATAAAATGAATTTGTATCTCTAATTCTGAGGGGAAAACTAGAAAAGCTCTTTCAATAGGAAAAAGAGAAAAAACTTTCAAGAGGAAAAACTTTTTTAGCAAATTTCTTGCATATAATAGTAAAATGACATAGTAAATTAATAAAGTTTTTTTCAATACATTTCAATAAAGATTAAAGCATTTAAAACAGGGAGGTGCCCAAACTTTTTACTATGAAGGGCCAAAAAACAAATATTACTGAGAGCCGTGGGCCAAAGCTAAATATATGACTATACAGTATTTATAAGGTAAAGCAAACAAACAAGAGTTAGATTAAATTTGAACTCCCTCTCTTCTCAGATGGCATGGCGGGCCAAATCAAAAAATATCATGGGCCAATATTGGCCAGCAGACCCTGTTTGGTCCTTTCTGGTTTAAAACAATAAATTAAAAAGTAGCACATTTAATGATCCGAGCTCTTTACTAAGAAGCTTTTTCAATAAAAAAAAACCCAGTGTAGCAAGTTCTGTTTAAAGTTTCCAGCATGTCAACAAACAAACCTAAAAATAGATATTAATCTGTTAACAAATTAATCAAAGAAAAGGGATATTATTACATCTAATGTATGTCAAATTACTAAATGTATACCCTAAATTGCATTAGTAAAAGTAAAATTACGTAAAACTTAAAATTAAAATAAACTTAATTAAATATCTGACTTTATCTTTATTTATCTTAAATTAGCTTCTGATTAACACTTGTTCTGATTTTTATATTTACGGCATTCTTTCCTAAAAAGATGATAATATGCTTAGTTTGTGTAAACTCAGTGTAGTTTCCTTACTCTTTGCAATGCGCCGCTGTTAAAACCCACTCTTTGTGAATCAGGATTCCTCCACATTTATGATTCTGGTTTACCTGAATGGACACCATCCACGATAAAGCTTTTTTGACATCTTTGCCTCCAACAATTGATACGTCAGAGCAAACTGGAAGAGAGATTTTAAAGACAGTTACAGGTTGAACAAAAGAACACTAATGAAGTTTGCAACCAAACTCTGGGACAAAAAAACAATCATTACCTGTCACTTTAAAAAAGGTGAACACCAAGAAGTGAAACACAATCAAATTTCTGCAAATATCCATTGAGTGGACCGTCCTCTCAGCCAAAAATCAATGTGTTTTCTCAGATGTCCTTTAACATCAAGTGTGAGAGCAATGAGGAAATAACCGCTTTTTAATTGCCCTTTCTTAGTCATCTTTGTGGTCAGAGCAGAATCAGGAGGTGTGTTTGTGTGGGGGGTTTTGCATGCAAGGTGATGCATCTGTTTTTGCACATTTTCACAAGTTCACACTGAGTCAATCAACAAGTCGTAACTTTTACTGTTAGTGGTGTTGATATAAGAGAGTAGGACTTAATTTGATTTCATGCAGGTTTATTTAATGTAAACGTTTAAAGAAGTTTAGAGGGCATCAAGCTCTACCCAGTTTTATTTTAGTATAATTGAGATATTTTAATAAACAAATGTTTTAACTGTGTGCATATATCACCTGATTATATATTACATGATCGGTCATAACAACATGCTAGTTTTATGCTAATTTAACTAAGGAAACTATACTGTAGCTATGTTTCAACTTGTTTTTTAAGTTAAAATAACTTGTAAGGTTAACTTTATTCAACAAAAAAATTTAAGGCAAACACTATTTATATCCACAGCGAACTTGATCCTTAAAGGGCAATGAAATCTCTCTCTTTCGTTCATGTTTACTTCAGAATTTTTTCATAAAATGCTTCATGATGGTTGTGGAGCACTGCAAGCATGCAGAGAGAGGAGTGGGCATAGCCAGCAAAGCAGGGAGAAAGAGGGGAGTGAACTGTCAGTTGGCTTACAAAATGAGACGCAAACCGTGAGGAGATCCATGATTTTATAGTTTAAAAAGTTAAAAAGCAAAGAAATAAAAAGTATGTCATTTAAAACCCTGCTACAATGTTATTCATAATTTCATATACACAACAACCACTAAAAAAGGAGAACTTCACTCCTTAATCCCCAGGTCTGAAAACAAACACATGGATAGCAGTGCAGCAGGTCTCTTGCCTCGTCTGTTTCAACCATTAGCCCTGCCGGTAATCTGGAGATTTTAAACATAAACACAGCAGCACTTCACATTTGCTTGCTGCAAACCAACAGCTTTGCTGTATCAGGTCTGCAGAATCGCGGAGAAAAACATGCAACAAACCCCATGGATCATAAAAATAAACTCGTGCTCGTACGAATCGTGCCGTGGCGACGCGTTCTTAACCAATCACTGGGTCTCAGCTTGGCAGGTATGCTTTGTCTTCGGAAAGCATGTGTAATTAAGAAGCAGAGTCTTCTCAAAGGATCAGAAAACACTGCTATGAATAATAATGAGAAACCGACGCGTCATCACTTCATTAGCAGATTTGCGCTACATCACCGATTTTGATCCCAGAAAAATTATTTTCAACCCGGAAGATGAAATTAGCTTACAAAAGCTCAAAATTATCTAGTGCACCCTACAATTAAAGCATACAGTTGCTAACGTTTCTTAACTGATGCTTAAAACACACAAATCTTTTAAAATCTCAAAAAAGTACTACAGGTTGTCTTAGGGCCTACTCACACTATGTGTTTGTAGTGTGAGTGCAAAACGCGCCAAAGCCCGAAACTGAAAGCTAGACGTGACTTTTAAGGGACTGTTTCATATGGATTTTATTAATCATTCTTACTGTTCAGTGAACGCAAACAGCCCTAGATTATTAAAGTTGCAAACCCCTCACTGCACGACAGCTGCGGACCTTCAGCACACCTCCTCATTCCTGCAGCACGAGGGCTTTATGATTGTTTAAGAGCACCAAAAGTGGCGGATCTGTTCGGCGAAATATCTTACTGCGTGTCACCGCATCCCTAAGGACTGTTTGGCGAAACATTTGACTGCGTCACTGCATATCAAACCGACTGAAACGATATAACTAGAGAAATCTAGAAATATATAACTAGAAATATATAAATATATAACTAGACTAGAAATATATAAATATATAACTAGAAAACCACTGTGCTGCTGAGTGAGAGCGCTTCTCACTTCATCAATGACGTAAGCGTGCCCAGGCCCGATTGTGGTGTGAGTGCGGGTCGTTGGGGGAGACGGGAGAGGGGACAATCGTGCTTTGGCCCGGTTCGAGGCAACTGTACCTAGTGTGAGTACGGCCTTAAACCTTTAAGGATTTATTGCACATTTTCTCTTGAAAGATTATCCTGTATAATATCCATTTTGCAGAATGGCAGGCTTTATAACCAAAGAACTCTATAACTTGATACAGTTTAAATTTTTTTTATATTGTACTCGACTTGAAATGAGTTGTGTTGTATGTCCTCACGAGTAGGTCTCTGTTTGTTTTGAAACTTTGAATAATTTAGCGGAAGTGCCTGAACACAAAGAATATTAAAAAGCCAATGGGAGTTTATTTGATGTGCTTTGGTGTTAATGTGAAGTGCGTAAAGAATACATGACAAATCGAGAATCAGCAAGACTTCTGAGACTACACAAAACTATAATGATGAACAACAAAACAGAGAGAGCTTTTGTGATTTGTGAATAATCTCTTGCTAGACATGCCATTAAAAGAGGAGTTTGTTAAAAACACACATTTACACACAAAGGTCCTGTTTTTATCTGGTCTTATGAGGCCATTTTTGATCAAGTTTCTGATTTCTATGAGAAGAACATCTAGGCGGGTGTACTGTATCTTTGATCCTTTTCTGACCTTTCGCTTTAATATTACAAAATAACTTCAATTTCCAAATGAATGCAAAATGTGAGAGCAGAAAAAGACAAAGAGAACCAGATTTAATGTCTGATCTAATAGCCACACCAAATACTTTGTATTAGAATAAGGACTATTTCTTTTTGCCTTTAAAGCAAACATGAATTTTCAGATGGCAAAGTTTAAAGCCAGTCTGGTTAACATGCTTCAACAACACACAATAATATTCACATGTTCGGTTTGCTGGGGAGTACAGTATGTAGCCTTTGTGGTTGCTTAATTATATTCAGGCAAACATCTATTTACACTATACAAGCAATCCAGCTAAATGCCTTTTTTAAAACTAAATCTGGAAGTGCTCAAACGCTCAAAGCATTTCAAGGCCTATTTAGCCCTGTATTAAGCATTGTTCAGTTGTGATCAGATCAACAGAAATGCATTTTCAAAGGGCACCTGTTACGCAATTACATTTATGAGTGGTTTATACATTAGTGTTTGTTGGCAGTGTGTGTGCACAACCACCCACTTTTGATCAAAGTTTGATCAAATTTCACCTAAACATTTTATTTAATCCCTATAACGCAAAATCTCTCAGACAAGCTGTTTGAAGAAACAGAAGGTTGTGACATCACAATCTACTGCCCCGCCCACAACTGTTAGAAGATCCTCCCAAATTAACATAGAACAGCAATTGTTGAGCAATTGGGAAAAAAATTCCCAGAGACAGGTATGCCAAGCTTGTGGCATCATATTCAAAAAGACTTGCGGCTGTATTTGTTCCCAAAGGTGCATCAACAAGGTATTGAGCAAAGGCTGTGAATACTTATGTACATGTGATTTTATTTTTAATAAATTTGCAACAATTAAAAAAAAAACTTTTTTCACATTGTCATTATGGGGTATTGTGTGTAGGATTTTGAGGAAATAAATTAATTTAATCCATTTTGGAATACGACTGCAACATTAAAAAAAAAAAAAGTGGAAAAAGTGAATCGCTATGAATACTTTCCGGGTGCACTGTTTACAGTATAATCTTTGAAAATCACCTTTCTTAATAATGTGCTGTGTGTTAGTCACCTTCACCATAAATGCAGAAAAGTAAACAGAGAACAGTTCTGTAAATTCTGTTTTGATTATGCTCAGGTTAAACAGATGGTTCAACTAAACATGGCAAAACAAAATTAGGTCATTTGCATTTAAATGTCACATCCACAACGTCAATTCATTTTTAATTTGACCCCAAAATTTATATTTTCAGCAGGTAATTATGTTGGACTTGTTGTGTATCTTGATCTGAAACTCAAATTACATCTTGCAAAAAAGGGGCATGATAGGTGCCCTTTAATACCAGGTGTAAACAGGGCCAAAATGGCCACCAATCAGAGATTTCAGAATTAAATTTTAAATTTTAGCTCTTTCTGCCCCAGAATCAAATGCACAATGTTGTGGGATATCAGAGCCAGCAAAGGATCCAAAGCCTTCAAAAATCGATAAAGTGAAGGAAGTAGCCCAGAAGAGCAGGACTGAAGTAAACGGATGCATTTTGAAAGCAGGATCCAAAGGGACCATGTTTCAGCTTTCAGTAAACTGTGACTGAGCACAATGTAACGTCTGTCTAGCACATGTTGAAAGCCCTGTTTACACCGGGTATTAAGATGCACTTTGGTCAGATGTGTGAGATACATTCCCATTTACACCTGATGTTTTAGTTAATCTCTTTTGTCCCTTTTTGACAAAAAGGTAAGCTAAAAAAGTATATTTGACATAAATGTACTCACCCTCAGGCTTTTATTGTTCAGTCGAATATTAAAGAAGTGCTTTTATTTAACTTAAAATGAAGTGCTGGCTATTTAAATGTAGGTTTTTGGCTACTGGTACTTGACAGTCAAAAAAAAAAAAAAAAAAATTATAGGAAAAACTAATTAATAGGTGTTTCTTGAAAATACATTGATGTCTTATAAAGTGGGTCAAGAACACATATTCATCTTTCAAATTGTCCTGAGCACATTCACCACAGATCCAACAGCAGCTTTTCCACTATTGGGGTGAATAGTTCTGTTAACAGTTTCATACGGTGCTGATTTGGGCCAGTCAGCATGAAAATAGTTTAATTTTCTACTGTGGTACTAACAACTAAATTCTTTGTACAATAAAACAAATGTGTTAATTGTTGATTTGGTAACAAAAGTTCTAATCCCAATTCCAACAAAACAATTGAATAATTTTTTTCATTTGATTACATTAAATAACAGAAGTCACTTTAAAAATGCATTGATTTATAATGAAAGCATTTGATTGCTTTTCTGTTTATGCTCATTTAAGACTAAATTAGTTGTTTAAACGACCCCCCCACAAGATTGACATACTTAGATGTCATTATTATTATTATTATTATTATTATTATTATTATTATTATTATTATTATTATTATTGTGTATATGTCTGATTAAACACGCACCCAAAACCCAGAGTGTCCAATTTCAGTCCACTTCAAATCACGTGTAATGTTACAGAATCCGTTTAGGAAACAGCGGCAATTTATCACTATGGAGCCCGTCTGACAGTTACACACCGCTACATGAACTGACTGTTTTAAGGATTGCATAGGAGTGGCAATAGTGCCTATAAAGGAAAGAAAGGGAATCATGCCATTTTTCTATTTATTTCCAAATGTTTTCATGTCCAAATAAAATGAAAGCACAGAACAGACTCACATTAAAGAGCAAAGGGGAATCCACATGCATTGGTGGTTCAGCGGTATGGGTTGCGTACAGGTATTAATTGCGTATTAATGCTTATTGCCACCTTTCAGAGAAAGATTAAAAATATGAGAGAAATGCAGGAAAATACCTCTACAGGATGTTAGAACTGTAAAATACAGGAGAATCAGGGAAAATGAGATGGTTGACAGGTATGTATTAGAACGTTTTGTTTGATAGTGTAAAATTGGCTACTGTGCATAAGACCTAAATTCATCATCAGGCTTTTAGCCATTGACTTGCATTTGGTAAATTAACAAGGATCACAGCTTCAGCCAAAATAAAGTTCTTTATTATTCTGAGAAAAAAGTGATCTTGGATGGCTTGAGAATAGGTAAATCAATAGCAAATGTTCATTACAGGGTGTACGTTAATGGCTGAGTAATATTGACTGAGACAGGGCTTTCGTTTTGCCTCTCATTCCCCCTTAAAAAACTAATAGTAAAAGGGGAACGAATAAGAATATTGTGGCTGAAGCCGTCAGACTGACATCAACAAAGTAGAACTGTCACTTCAAATGGAGAAGCTTTTTGATTTAATAATTTGATTGAACAATAAAAAAGAAACAGATTTTTTTTTTATTGTTCACCAAATGTGCGCTAACAAAATAAACATTGTAAATATAGCAAATATGGATTAATAAGCTATATAAGCTGGGAATGTTTAGTTTCTTAAAAACGTGTGCTGTTAAATTGCTGTCTCAGTATGCTATTGATCCAAGAGATGTGTCTTTTGGAAAGAAACGTGTACACTGTGGGTTTCTTGGGAATCCCACATCCTTGTGAGCCTGAAATGACTCCAACCAGGTTTTTCTTACACTCCAGAGGTCCACCAGAATCTCCCTGAAAAACAAATCGTCTTTCAGACATGTGAAGAAATGTTTGCAAACAGCATAAATCAGCATCTGTAAAGCTGAAACCTACCCAACAGGTTCCTCTGTGCTGCTGTGTATTTCCTGCACACAGCATGTCTTTGGTGATGACAGGATTTCTGTTATAGTAGCGGTTGCACTGATCTCTGTCCACCACCAACACCTCCAACATTTGCAGTTTATCAGAAGCTTGCTCGTCTTTATAATCAGTGGTTCCCCAACCTCTTACAACACATTTTGTTCCGGGTGGGACATCTTTTTCATTTTTAGGGATTTTGTAGGGTTTGGCTTTAACTTTTTTGCTTAGCTGCAAAGATATGGCGATGCTCAAATGCATGTTGTGTAAAAGCAGTAAAAGAGTTAATCACGAATAAATGACAATCCTTTTAGTTCATCCTTACCCTAATGAGCATGATGTCATCTTCTTTAGTCTTTTCATTGAATGTTTTAGGGATTTCGTAATTAAGGATGCCAATACGTTGAGAGCCTTTACTCAGAGATAGAGATCCTATGAGAACCGTCACTGATGAAACAGGGACTCTAAAATAGAAGACTGACATAAGTGTGCTTAGTTACATCATGGTGAGCACATCAAGGTAAGACACTGCAGTGAGTGAAAAATAATACTTCCCCAGTTAAGAATTGAACAAAAAAAAATTGTTTTACAAGTTTTATAACCTTATCATTAAATATGCCAATTGTGCTGAATTACATATATTTCAACCAAAATATTCTAAACTTTTTATGCCACAGTAGAATGAACCTCCAACTAATACAGCATATGCTTTACGCAGCGGATTCACTTCCAATTGGGAAACATCCATGAACACTCATACACTACGGACAATTTAGCCTGTCCAATTCACCTATACCGCACGTCTTTGGTCTTGTGGGAGAAACCAGAGCACCCGGAGGAAACCCATGCAAACACGTGCAGAACATGCAAACTCCACACAGAAATGCCAACTGACCTTCTTACCTTCTTGCTGTGAGGTGATCGTGTTACCCACTTATCCATTTACTGTATATTCACTCCCAAAACATTAGTATTTTATGCTTCAAATAAGTTTTGAGTGGTTTCCTTACTCTTTGCATTGTGCTGAAGTTAAAACCCACTGCTTGTGAATCAGGATTCCTCCACAAATATGGATCTTTTCCTTTTGAATGGACACCATCCACGATAGAGCTTTTTTGACATCTTTGCCTCCAACAATTGACACGTCAGAGCAAACTGGAAGAGAAATTTTAAAGTCAGTTACAGATTGAACAAAAAGATCACTTGAAAAACTGTTTTTAATCAATTTTGTTGACAGAAAAACAATCATTACCTGCCGCTTTGCAAAAGGTGAACACCAAGAAGTGAAACAAAATCACATTTCTGCAAACATCCATTGTGTGGTACAATCTTTCAGTCAAAAGTGTGCTTCCTCAGGCATCTAACAACCTCAATTGTGAGAGCAATGAGGAAGTAGCAAATTGAATGTACGTCTTGCTTAATTTTTGTGGTCAGAGCAGAATCAGGAGGTGTGTTTGTGTGGGAGGTTTTGCATGCAAGGCGATGCATCAGTTTTTGCACGTTTTCACAAATTCATATTGAGGTAATTCTAGTTTGATAACACAAAAAACAGTTATAACCTTTTCTGTTACTGGTATAAATATGATATAGCACAACTTCCGACATAAGCTCTGACCAATGGCATTTTAATATCCTTATATGTACAGTTGAAGTCAGAATTATTAGCCCCCCCTGAATTATTCGCTCCCCTGTTTAATTTCTTTTCCAATTTTTGTTAACCAGAAAGAAGATTTTTCCAACACATTACTAAACATAATAGTTTTAATAACTCATTTCTAATAAAATTTACCTTTGCCATGATGACATGAGAACATTTTACTAGATATTTTTCAAGACACTTCCTTACAGCTTAGAGTGACATTTAAAGGATTGACTAGGATAATTAAGTTAACTAGGCAGGTTAGGGCGATTAGGCAAGTTGTTGTATAATGATGGTTTGTTCTGTAGGGGGGGCATGCAAACTCCAAACAAACATGCAACCTGGTCCATCTAGGACTTGAACCAACAACCTTATTGCTGTGAGACAACAGTGCTAACCACTGAGCCATCGTGCCAGTTTTTAAGGTTAGCAGAGGTTTACTGATTGATATATATTTTTTTTTACAACAAATTTGTTCTTCCAGTTTGAAAAGAAATTTTAAAGCAAAGTCACATTGAGGACATCATTGTGTCCGCTAACACGCGACAAAAAATTTTTTTGCAAGGAACTTTTTTTTTTTATTTAATTTTTTTGCTGAGAGCTTTTTGCATCTGCAAATGGTAAAATCTGGATTTGCCACTCATCTCCTTTTAAATAAGACACGGTTCCAGTTTGTATTGATTGTCGGGTCTCTACTGATTTGGTAAGTGTGTGATCAGTGTTTGTTTTTTTATGTTTTTCCACATCGCAAAGTTAGTTCGTCAGCACTACTTTTTCAGTTTTAAAAGACATACCTTAGTCAAAATGATTTAATTGCTAAGTTTACAATAATATCACTACAATTTTCGAATAGCAACGTAAGTATCATCAACAGTACACTTTCAGCTTTTGAAGAGCTTACTTAAAGGTTAAAAATGATAAGGCAGTGACCCTGCACTGTCATCAATAATGTGGCTGAGGGGAATCTGGTGGAGAGAAATCCTGCACTTTTTTTTACACAGCTCTCAGATCAGCTATAAACGCTGCTCTCTGAATAGCTGTTCACCTCTACTGCATCTGTGTTTGGGTTGCCGGCCGCACATACTGAAACTCCTATTTTAATGCAAACCCTTTCCTCATTCGCTGTTGAACACTCCCACCTAAACAAAACTGAACACACCCACTTTCTTTACTTTTTCAAAAACTATTTCAAGGCCCTTTAAATGAATAACCTGTTGTTAAAACAGATAAACACTCCAAATACTTTTATTTGAGCTCAAAATAATTAATTCTTTCGGGATACATGAGAGACACACACTCAATTTACATTAACAGAAAAGCATGCGCAAACAAAATTCAATGGGACAATCAATAAGCATCAACCACTGTCCCTCAAGACCTTCTTAATAACGTCTTGTTTTGTTCAACTATAAAAGCAGCTCATCTTTCCTGCGGTAATCAACGCTATAGATCAAACATAGAGTTCAAGTGTAGCACCATTTACAGTACACAAGAGCCCAGCAGCAGATCTTTATGATGTTTGTTTCTATAGGGTGCTTGGGGTGACACAAGTTCACGGTTGTGTCCTGAAAGAAGAAGTCTCATCAGGGTACACGTAGCCCTCGCTGAAAGATTCGTGCTGAGCTAAAGTGACTAACGGTTTTTCACACCTTCAGAAGCGAAGCAGAAGCTTCAAAGCTGAATGTGCGGATGCAGCCTCCTGCTGCGCAAACCTTACAAACCTGCGAATCACAGCTGGAGATTCAGATCAAGAGACGCAGCCCTTTTATTCAGCTCCATGTCAAGCAAGAGGAAATAAAACATATATAGGGGGACAAATTAAACTTTTAGCATATTATACTTTATACAGAGTTTTTGGAAAACTCATGTTGTGAATCATTAAAATATCTAATATGATTTGTAGTACACTGCACAGTAAAAATGCTGGGTTCCACACAATTCCTCATGTTGTCCCGACACAAATCGATTAACTTTGTTTTTACAAATTTAAGTGGATTGAGCATAAAACATTTATGTTGTTCCCCCCCAAAAAATCAAGAATTGTGTTGATTCCTCTCATTTTAAATAAGTAGTTTGAACAAAAAGCAAAATAATTATTTTGGAAGGTAGATGATGCTAATAAGTTTAATAAAGTGACTTTCATTGTCGTTTTAGTAGTTTGAAATGATGGTAACATCTTCGTTTGTCACAATTAACGGTATTATTAACAAACCATTAACTAACACTATAAGCACAATAAATGACTAATTAGCTGATTATTAATAGTTAGTAAGGAAAAAGTTGAGTTTAGGTTTTGGGTAGGATTCGGGAGGCAGAATAAGATCATACCTTATAAAAACTAATGAACAGTTAATAACTTAATAATGCAGTAGTTAACAGTGGGAATTGTGACTAAACTAAAGTGAAACCTTCATATTTTGAAATCAGGTTACATATTTGATGTATTTGAGTGCTTGTTATTTTGTGCAATGTGGTTGTGCTTTGTTTTAGTGTTTTTGTACTCCCTCTCTCATTGCCTTCTCTACTTTCTGGCTGTTTCCTCAATGTGCGTTTTTTAGTGTGCTTGTGTTTCTGTGTAAAGTCATCATCAACTGCCAAAGTTCAGTTCAAAAACTCAAGGCCGCAAGAAGGGAGGACGCATGAAAGTTCCCGGATGTCTTCTTGGTATCAAGGATGCACGATGCAGACTTGAGCACCGAACTCCCTGCAGAAGTCCCACAAGTTATTGCGACTGAATAAAGGAGGTGGGAAGTGCAGCATTTTATATAGATTTATCATCAAAGTTCAGATATATAACTTATTTGTTCCTTCCAATGAAATGGTGAAAGTAAGCATTAACACAAAAATCTTTATAAAGGCATAAACACATTATTTGTGTTTATTTGCTAAAATTCAAATTAAAATCTGTTTTATTTATATTGTGCAAAGCATATTTGTAAGGCTTTCGTAATATATATTGAAAAGGGAAAAATCAATTAATTGTTATGTGAATTCTGTAATGTTTAAATCATTTTCTATTAAACACGCGCAAAGGTCACGTGACTGTCGGGAAGAACGCAGCATCTCATTTCTAAAAGGACGAGTTCTCTGTTCTGGCAGTCTCCTGAGTTTGTTCTTCCGAGGACATCTGGCAAGACCGGTGTTCTCTGAAGATTCTCCTGAAGATTCTCTGCGTTCTTGGAATTGAGAAACAGCCTTGATTTTGTGGTTGCTTTGCTTGTACAGATTTCTAATTTCAGTCTGTTTTCAGAGTTTAAATTTGTTGGTAATTTTTTTGTTAAGATTGTGGAAGCTGTAGAAAGGAGGATGCCATTTTCTTTTGATGGAGTGTTTTCTCCTGTTTCTAGCTAGGGAGTGAGCTAATTGTTTATTTTTTTTTATTATTATTTAAGTAAGTTAGATTGTTCTTCACAACATTTAGATTTTTTTTGTTGTTGTTGTTTGGTCTGATCCTCTCTTAAAGTTATTTTGCTTCCAATCAATCAATCAATCAATCAATCAATCAATCAATCAATCAATCAATCAATCAATCAATCAATCAATCAATCAATCAATCAATCAATCAATCAATCAATCAATCAATCAAATAAAAATCTTGTTGATAAAATTGACTTCTTAAAAATGTTTGTGGTAATTGCTGACTGGGACAAGTAAACCTTCACTAAAATGTTACAAGTTTCCTAAAACCCTAGAAATCTGTATTATTGTACTGGCAATTGAACTTGATGTATTTTTAGGAATTTTGTTATATAGCAGGATTTACTGCTATATAACTAAAGATCTATACAAAGGGAAAATGAATATTTAATGAAATGATTTTTTTCATGAATTAATGCTGCTGTACTTTCACAGCAAAAAGGATTTTCTCACGTAGTTTTTGTTTTGTTTCTTGTCCAAATATCTACAATTCTTAAATCAAGAAGCATCTTTAAGAAGAGCAAAAAAATAGCCTTGTTTTCAGAAATAATAAATCTAAATGAAGCGAGTTTTTTCTTAAAACAAGTTAAATACTGCTATTGAGGTGAGCAAAATCTTTTTTTTTTTCAAAGAGAAAACAAGTTTATTTTGCTTGTCTTAAGGAAAGTTTTAACAATTTATTTCTCAAAAGAAGACAGTATTTTACATTTGTCTATAAAATGCTTCTTGACTTTAGAATGTTTAAAAATTGTTACTTGAAACAAGACAAAGGCTTTAAGTTAGAAAAGCCTTTTTTGCAGTGTTGATTTTAATATTGAGAATGATTATAAATGACAATCTCATCACGCAGTAAAGTTACACTACAACCTGCAGAGGGAGGAAAACATAATGATAACCACAAATGCCAAAAACAACTAAGGGGAATTTTGTGAAATCACAGCTTTCTTTTAGCACAGAAAACAAAGTGCTGCTTAAACTGTGATCTTGTGAATAAACACACTGGTACATTCTTCCAGATGTGTGATCATATTTGCAAATGCCTGCTTATGACCACCAGAATGAGTAAAATATATATAACAAAATACCACCATGACAAATGAAGTGACACTGGGATAAGTGTTTAAGGGTTACATATTTCATTGTTTGTTTTTATATACTGCATTATGTGGTGCTAAAAGGTTTAAATCAGGGGTCCCAAACTCAGGATATATAGTATTTAGTGGTTTGTTTTGTAGTCAGTCAGGAAAATTATTATTTATTTCTTAAGGGGGTAGTAATGTTGGCCTTTACAGTTTTTACATTTGTTTAAATATTTTTTCTTTTCATTTTGCTTTTTTTGGGTAAGCAAAAAATTATTTTGGGTTTTGGATTTTTGGTAAGACTTTATTTTGATGGTCCCATATTGCACATTTTGTGAACTAAATGTTACATTGAATCTACATACCAATTCATTTTCATTTAAGTGTTAGTAGACTGTCTGCTTAATATCTGCTGATACTGCTCCTTTAACGCATTTAACTGACTAAAAGAAACTTTGTAAGTACATGTCAACTTACACAAACCCTAGTCCTAACCCCAGCCTAACTTAAATTCAACAAAATGTATTAAAACGACCATCAAAATAAAGCCATACCAGATTTTTTACTTTCTCAAGAAAGGAAATATCATTGGAAACACCGTTAAAGACAGCTTATTTATTTTAACTGTATTTATTTTTAAA